AGAATTGGAGAGTCCTCATATTTCTGAGCATCAACAGGTGATTGTGGAGCATCATCATCAAACAGGTTCAAGCACACATGATGGCGGATGGATTGCTCGAATTGCGGCATTGCTCGTGGGAGAGGATCCGACACAATCTTTTGCACTTATATGTGGAAACTGTCATATGCACAATGGTAAAATGAATTTATGGAAGTAACTTTAGATCTAACTGTTTCAAATTTTACTTAACTCAATTCTACATTTAAATATTTGCAGGGCTTGCTAGGCAAGAGGACTTTCCTTACATAACTTACTACTGCCCACATTGCAATGCCCTGAATAAGCCAAAGCAATCTGATCAACGCGTTTCTGGTTCAAATTCCCCTAACACGACCACCTCAATGAATGTGGTCGATGCAGAGGTGACAAGAAGTGCTGGTGATTCCATCGACAGGATACCTGTTGGCAATAGCCCTGTGGCTGCTGCTTTGGAGACATCCAAAAGTGAGAAGATAGCAACTGGCAATTCGGTCAACTAGCAGACTTTATGTGCATTCTTACCGGGTCGAATGGTGCTGTTTTCCCGAGTGTAGTAAATGTAATAGGTGGTTTCCTTCCATCATCTTTAACAGAGACTATAAACTCGTTGCAAGTTTTCTGTCATTATAGCGGAAGACCTCTTCTTATCTTGAGTTATTTGTGTAATGGTATCTGATTCTGTCAATAGCGAGAAATTTTCTGGACTTGGCCTCAATCCACAGTTGTGGATGATGCTGTGCCCAAGTGGCAGTTGAGTGGTGCTATAGATTTAAGTTTTGCAGATTCATTTTATTTGACAAATTTTGTCTTTAAAAACAGTCTTTAGTCTATATGGGTTACTTCCTTAATTTACTTGATATTAATTGGTTTTTCTCGACACATTTTTGAAAGGGCTTTTCTTAATGATCGAAATGAAAAAAGAAAAAAAAGAATTTTTCTAAGAAGTCGTTATTTAGATTCAAACAGATAAATTTATCATACTCGTAGGATGCTCCATTGGCTTCAGTTATGGAATCATGCGAGATTTGTGTGGTGGAAGTGTGAGATGAGGGAGAAAAGGGCACAGTTGGCTAGACGAGGTTTGAGTCCTTAATTGTGGGACAAAATTGAGAACTATTAAGGAATTTTTTGAAAATCTTGAACTTGAAATTTAGTGTGGAGGCAGTTGACCCCACTGTGCTCATACTAAATCTGCCACCGGGTAGTTTTGACTGAATGGACAACATATTGGACATTTCTTGAGGTTCGAGTCCAACTATCTTTGGGTTGCGTAAAGCCTCTCTCTATTAGTAGAGGCGGAGCTACCTTAGGTCCAATGCAGGCATTTGCCTGCACTGAACTTCAAGCCCTTACATTTTAAGATATATATATATATAAGTTCCAATCATGCTATTTCATATTGTTTATTGTTTTATTGACTACTTAAGAAGAAATTGAATGCACGTCGAATACAATAATTTAAGGGTTCGAACTCATAGGATTTTTTGGGGTCCCAAAAATTCAAAGTTCGACCTTAATTAAATCTTACCCGCACTGGCTAAAATTCCTGGCTTTGCCCCTACCTATTAGTCCTACATTTGAACCTCATGCTGGAGTCCTCTCGATATTTTGGGTCTGTTAGAGGCGTTGGGAGTCGCTCTCTGCCAGCATATTCCCCGGTTCAGGAATAAATCGGCACATCAGCTTGCCTTTTTACTCCTACTACCTCAGTACATTCTATTTGGGTTGATTGTACCCCACGTTTTCATCGCCTATCATTCTCGGTGATGTTGATTAATAAAATTTCCTGCTTTTCCCTCCCAAAATAAAATCGATGCTATCGATTTCAACCATTTAGATCATCAATTATGCATTCAATTCATTAGAAATATTTGAAATCGTTTTTGAAACAGAAAACATCTGTAATATAAATCTATTGCGTAAGGCAAGCCAGAATTGTTTTATTATACACCCCAAATTTTAATAGATTCGAGGTGTTAATAAAAATTTATTTCGTTCATGATACAATGGAAACTGTTTATAATAAATTAAAATTTTATAAATCTACTTCGCATCCAATGGCTCACCACAATATTAAACACAAAGTCACAACATTTTATACCATCATTTCATTAAGAACAGTCAGTGATCAATCGAGTATTCTAATACATTTTCGTGTAATCCCTCGAGAAGCTGGAACAAATCTTGAATTTCATTTTAGTGAATGGCATGGTCTGGTTAGCATTTCATATATGAACGTTACGAAAAAACACGTTGGCATTGTAAAGGGACAAAACCACTTGCACATATATGTAGGCTACTACCTTGATTAATTTCTTAATAAACCTGAAGAAATTTTGTAATACCAATCCCACATCACAAAATTGAGCTAAAATTTATAGGATATCAAAACAAATTTCTTGTAGTTCTAATAGAAAATCAATCACAGTCAAATAATTCATTCACGTAATTAATTGGCATATTCAACAATGTAATAGAAGTAAAATGAATATTGAATTCTATCCTTTGTGAGCAAAAACTCAAAAATTGATAACGAGCCTACACGAAAGAATATCTATTGGAAGCAGCAGCAGCATTCTCAACTCGTAGATCGCTTTACTTATGAACCGGAGATGCAAAAAAACTGCATGCAACTAAACTATTTGTCACTTACAATCATGTCTTCAATGACATGACCTCAATGGCACTGCCTAGTGGCCATGCTGCTTCAACCAGCGAATTTTGATACTCGACTTTTTTCACCAATGTAATCTCTTGCTTTGGATCAAGACCTGTTTAATGAACATGAATCAAACATGAATCAACCATAAAATTAAGCAACGTGAATTCGAGATGTGAGTTATCAAACAGTTCGTAGTGTTATCACTTACCAAACCCATCTATGAGCAGTGTGTATTGATAGACGAGATCCATGCATAAGTACGGTAAATTATCTGGATCGACATGAGGATATCTAGATTTGGCGTCAGCCAGTTTCATTTGGCATGCTTTTTTGGCTGCATCCTCAAAATCAGCTGGACGGACTTTAGCAACAGCCTTGTTTGGATCCACAAAACCAGCCTATGTGCAAGGTATACAGAAGTCAACAAGGCTGGACTATCTTATAATTAAGAAAAAGAAGTAAAATCTCGTTTATAGTACTGTCCAGTCCCACCCGGTGCTGCTTACTAAATAAGCTGTGAAAGAAGAAACCATAAATTGGTAGAACTTTTGCGAGCATCTAAAAAGGAAACTTCTTTTACCTCAGCGGCTCGATCAAAGAAAAATGAAGCAACAAACAGATTCTTCTGACCATCCCCTCCTCCGCCATTCCACACCCCACCAAAAGTGCACTTCATGTGGGTGCATGTAGTTTCATCAATTTTAAGAGCCTTATTAGCTGCTTCTCTACATGCATTCAGGCTTGAACCAGATGAGACAGCAGATGCATCGTATTCTACTCCTCCATACTTGTACGAACCTTGTGTGGAAAATATAAGTGGATCCATAAGGGTTAACTTTATTGCCAAACATCAAAATTATAGAAAGTAAAAAAGGCCACAATAATAGTAAAAAGTTACAAATACTGCTAATTTCTAAAGATGTTTCCTGCAATAAGAAAAATTAGGACTAGCTAATAGTTTTGATATAAAATAAGAGGACAAAATACTAAGTGCAATAAGTGAAATAAAGCTCATGTGAACGGTCACAAAATTAGGTTGCTAAACTTCCACTACTAGACAAAGACTTCTATTTGAAAGAACACCAAACGGATGGTTTTGAGTCTTTTGTCTCAGTGATATGATCGTAATCGACGAATCCATATTTTATTATGATTGACTTGTGAGCAATCAACTTGATTGTTATATGTGCACAATCTAAACAAATTTGTGAAGCAGAATAAAGTCAATCTAGTTTAAATATATAAACAGAAGTACATGCCTAAGCCATTAACACTCTTATCACAAGCGTTCTGCATAATTTGAGTAAAAAATAAAAAAAATAAAAAATAAAACTTAAACTTCAGTTTTTTTCCCCCAGTTGTTAATGGTCAAAGGATTGTTTATTATCAAAGAGTTACTTGAATATGTCACCCATTAATTCATTATTATAGAAGTACTTTTATCAACTTGCTCGAGGAAGCCAACTACAATGAAAAAAAGCCCTCAAGCAATGTGCTTCAGCAGTTACTCATGGAACCTATTCCCATTTCAAGCTAGTGAGAGACAGGGGCCCAAAAAGGGACCTTTGCCAATTAAGATACCCCCATGTCAATTATCTCGCATTGGCCAGGACAAGGGATTCTAAATAGTAAAGCGGCCAAACAAGCAATATAGCCGAAATAATTTATGAAGAGTTTTATTTTGGTAAAAGAATTTACCGTTGATGAATTATTTATATAAAAAAATGATTGCTTTAAATTTTCAACAACCTCCAAATTCCAGATCCTTAGCCATGTAGCAGAGAAGAGCATGTGTAAATAAACAATCTAATCTAGAAAAGTTACATAATCCTTGGATTTACTTTCTTGATGACTTTGTTTCATGTTAGTTGGTAATTGTAATCCTCTAAGGCATAAAGCTTTCCCTTTTCTGACATTACAACATTCACATATAAAAAATGTAACATGTAACAGTTATGTCACAAAGAAACCTTACAAATTGAACAAGAGGAAGCAATAATAAGTCCTATCGCTTGTTTGGCCGCTTTACTAAGTGGTTGGTATGTAGTGTGTTGCATTGCTCTTTCATGTCACTCCATTCAAAGCATGGGCAAAGCGAATATTGTTTTTCACTTTTATGGTCCCTTTTAGGGTCTATAATATTAATGTAAACTATAGGAATATTTTTTTAGTAGGGCTTACAAGGAATTTAGGGTTCATTGATGTAAGTGTATCTCTAACATTTGTGAGAATATAACACCATCAACTCGCTAGACACACACACACACAGAGAACCCTTCTGCCCCAACATTTAAAGTTAAGTCAGGAGAACAAGAACAAACTTACCATCATAACCAGACAAGATGCAGAGATTGCCGGATTTTCTAACCTTCAAAATTTCAGCTCGTGCTGCCAGTAAGCCATAGCGCAAATAACTGTTCATGAAATTATATATGTCATAAGTTAAATATAGAGAAGCATATAAAGCAATTTCTTCTATAAGAAAGAGTAAATTCTAATAAGAAACATATACTCTTAAAGAAAGGAATCACAAGCTCAATCCTTTTAGCAAGTAACTGTTCATCAAATTATATATGTCAAAAGTTAAATATAGAAGGGCATATAAGACAATTTCCTCTATAAGAAAGAGCAAATTCTAATAAGAAACATATACTCTTAAAGAAAGGAATGACAAGCTCAATCATTTTAGCAAGTCAGGGTAGTTACATAGCAGGTAGAAGGCTATTCCAGGAAGTCATCCTCTACAAAGTACGAATATTGATTTATCAGAGAGATAGAGATAAACCTGTGGACATAAAGGTTATATTTTCTACCCTTGAGATACATTTCCTGCACATAAGTATTCTCTCCATCTGATAACCTAGGAGCCTTTGCAGCATCAGCATCAGAGATGGCATACGCCATTTGTACAGATCCACCTCCAAGATCAACCACTCCAACGGTAGACGGATATTCTTTACCCAAATTCCCTAGTAGATAGTTGATTGTCACCTGCATAGGACATGAAAAAATTCTAAACAATTCCAAAGACACTGGTAATAAAAGAATGATAAGTCAATTTTTTTTAAAAAATCCGATCCATGTTACTTGTGTGCCAGTCTACTGCAATTTCCATGCCATTTAAAGAGTATAGCTTAACAATGGCAATTGCCTCCATCAATGAATCTTCTCTGGACCAACCCCCCACCCATTAAAAAAAATAAAATAAAATAAAATAAAATCTCTCTCACTTTAAAATGTAAAAGTAAAGCTCATCAGCCATGGGAAAATGCTTTAGCACGTGAGTGCATCTTCATTTGATGTTTTAGTTAGACACATGATTATATTGAATTATAGAGAGTAAGCAATGCCTATTTCTACAAAGGATATTCCAAACAGATGAATAAAGGATTATGGAGCTGTCAAGAGAGGCCTTTTTCTCCCACATGGACTAGATGGAGGCAGTGGCACATCCATGACCTGATACCAGCAGGGGCCTAATTTAACTGCAGGAAAGTTTCTCAAACACAAAAGTTCGGATAAAAATCCTTTCCGGCATCATCCCATTCCGAGGACTCACAGAAATACCCCGGGTGGTGCCACAATCTATCCGAGGATTGGAGAGGAGAGGTGGAAGAAAAGCCTCGGGATGGATTTAGGAGTCTTTGTGCAATATCGAAAGTAAAAAACAAAAAACAAAAATTCATATGAAAAATAAAATAAAATAAAAAATCAGATTGACCCCACTAGCCCCCACCTCCCTCCGCCAGTGGGTGGAGGAAGAAAAGCTCTTCCGTTACAATGGTGTGATGTGATCATGTGGAGCTCTGCAGGGAACAAAAGATGTGGATTTAGTGGAGGGAGACTCTGGAGCAAATTCGAAAACAGAATTTTCTATACTATCTTTCCAAATGCTCAACTTATTGGATAATTAGAAAAAAGTATTGAGACAGGGTAACCATTTCAGAACTAGCTCCCATATCCAGTTTTGCTATTTGAAGGACAGTGGCAGACACTTTCTCATTGTTAAAACGTTGGTCATTTATAACCTCAAGAAGCTTAGTACAGAAAACATCACAACCTTTGGAGATATGTGAATCTTCTTATTCCCTCACCCAGTTCTCAAGTAAAGTCATGCCTCCTTATCCTCCCCTCCTCCCTTTGCCTCCACCATGTCTATCTCCTTGATGATTTATCTAGTTTCGTTGAAGACTAAATGTTTGAACCTTTTTTCTTGTAACTTGTCACCCTAAAACTTTTAGGTTGTATTAAAATGAAAATTGAACGGAGATATCTCTAGAGGCTGAGAATTTGATACTAGTAGCTCAAATTATAAGGCCATATCTTAAATATGTCAACATGTAGTACTGCTGCAGGTCAAGTAAACAACTCTAATAAACTTTAAGTAACATCATAAACAACAACTCTTTCTTTATCATCTCCTCCTTTTCCTTTCACAGTCACAGGCAACATCCTATTCCATTAGTTACTATTTCCATAATTCTGCCATTCAACAAAACAGAAATTTATGTATTATTTGCCACAGATTTTCACTTCTTCATAACAATTGACGCTTTTGTTATTCTACGTAGTATTAAATAAGCAGAGCAATCTAGTGTGCTTCTGTCAAATCCGATTCCTAAAGACACTGAAATTGGTTTCTGCATGGACTAAAATTAAATGAAGTTGGACTAAAATTAGAAGATAGAAACTGGAAAGTTATACTAAAGAATGAATCCAAACACAAGAACAGGCTATAATTTCCAAGAACGTGGAATGAAAAGTACTGATCCTATCCCATCTGGGATCTATTCACAAATATTATCAACCGTCTCACCAATGACATTTCAAGCTTCTTTCTTGTTCTCTACGAAGTGTACCAAAAGAGAGAAGCACATATATTTCATTATGAATAGTTTGGAAACCAAAAGTAATATAGGCACCTGAATAATTTATCTTAGAATTGACGTACCCATTGATAAGCACCTTCCTGATTTCCATCAAGAACGGTGACCCAATCTGCCTTGGACTTGAATGTGCCTCTGTTCTTCAAAAGATCCCTTACCTTTAGCAAGGAACTTTGAGTGAATAATTATTGAAACCTCAAAAAAAAAAAAAAAAAAAAAAAAGGGGAAAAAGGGGAAAAATCTAAAAAATGAATCAAGCTCACTGCTTGCAGTATCCTGTCTGGTGTATCACCATCTAGTTGCCTAAGACCTGCAGTTGCCTGTGTAGAGATCAGAATAAGGATTTCATATGAATGGCGCAGAAATAAAAAATTTAAAATTATATGACATAAAGGCACTGAAGCAGAAAAATGCTAACCCCGACTCTAACTGGTGTATCATGTTGCAAATCTCTTGGAACTGCAGCTTCTGCTTTCTCTAGTAGCTCTAGCAGTGAGTCAGCAGCGGCCTTGGGGTCTTTTGCAAATGAACTCAAACCTGGTTTTTTCTACAATATCAAAAGTAGACAGAGACATGAGAAACACAGAGGATGAGGAAAATAAAAAGAAGAAGCTTTAAAGCACTAGTTTTTGCTATGACCCCGAGTTGTAAAAGTGTCTACACATGTTTGTGCATTTATATACGTGGATAAAATGTGTGTGTTTATATACTCATAAATATACAGACATACTCGTATAACAGTGATTCTTGTAAGTTTGACCCTACAGCTCAATGCTACTGCTATACATACAACAACAAGAAGCTAAGCCTTATTTCACTAAATCTGTGGGTAGATCATGTATATAATTTTATGCCACTCCGTCAATCATTACTAAATAAATAAAGTTAAATCTTTTGTAATCACATCAGCCCACATTAACTTTTGTCGCTTTTCCTCCTCTTACTAGCTCTACTAGATTGCATCACCTCTGCAAATAAGAGCTCAACACTACAGACAATAAAAATGGAAAAACAACCATTTATATGTAAGTTACTGCCTCTCCAAGGAGCCATACAATAATTCAGAGCTATATTTAAGCACAATGTACCAATAAATGGAGGCAACAAAGCATAACTGCATATAACATTATAAATACATAGAAATGGGCATTTTCTAGTGCCCAATAGCAGAGGGAGGGTGTGCTACACACAATGAAGAAGATTTAGAGCATCCTTACATTTTTTTCGATAAAATTTAAAAGAAATATTAAGTCAGTTACTCAATGGACATGGCAAATTTACCTGCACAAAAAGCTCAAGTTCTTTGCCAATAGGAATAAGATCCAATTTCTTGTCAAAGCAAAAGACGTGGACCCTACTACCAGAACTTCCAGCATCAAAAATCACAGCGTAGCCCTGAGTTTTAGGATTCGGAGAGAACTTGCGAGGAAAGGACTCCATTGAACTGGCAGGGTTGCGCGATGGCATGAGAAAGAACAGAAGAGTGATTAGTAGGACCGGGACCAAGATCACGAGTATGACACCACGATATCTCTGTATTTTGTCATAGACCGTCTCATGTCTCGTTCGCCGCGATATTTTCTCCATTTGAAGTTGCTCGGCTTGGCCTTGTTGTGATTCTAAAAGTTCTGCAGCCGACGGTGATCGATATCGGATCTGACCATTTCCTGGCGTCTTCAGTGGCTGCGTCTCCTGTACAGACTCCAGCTCTATTTCCTCTGTACTTTTTTAAACAGATCATATCGAGGAAATGGAGTAAGTAAGCAACAGTAACTCCATTATCATGACATGCAAAATGAAAATCATGTTGCATATAGAGATACCTAACTGCTTCCGAGCAAATCCCATTAAGATTTAACTAAAATGCTTGTCTAATGATATATATGTCTGTATCCTTTTTCTAGTAATTCATACTTCAAATTGTTTCTAGGCAATCAAAACACAGTTTAGTTCAGTTAACTATGCAGATCTCTACATCATTCATGTCAAAACAGGATTAAAAAGCTTGACTAATGCATCAGGTCGACTCCTGGGAACTGTTTCAACTATGAATTATGATCTAAGCATATCAAATCGCATGAGTCTTCACCTTTTACCATACAATTTTCGCAAATTGAGACCAGCCAGATACAGTTGGATCTCAGTTCTCCAATAGCTTTTGTGGAAAACTCACAAAATATCCCCCATTAGTGAAGCATCTTTCATGAAACCGAACACATCCATCCATAATTTTACTTTCCCCACTAACCAAACACATAATATGATATAACAGTTGAAAATGTTATTACAACAAAAACGCGTGCGCCCATCAGCCCACCATATGTCAGATCCAAATCAGGAATGGCAAAGTAAAACTTCAATCGCATTCATATAATTGATTCAGCGAGAACATATATGCATGTACCAGATCATACAAAAACTAACCATTAAATTAATCAATCAAGCAGCCGACAGACAGATCACACACATACACAAAACAAAACGAACAAAAACAATAAACCCACTTCGCCAAAACCTACATTTTCTCGGCAATCAGACCCAAAACCCATAATCACTTGCAAAGAATAATGCCACTTCACACAATATAGAGTAAATTCAATAGATTTAAATTTTACTGACCTTGAAATCCCTCGGGTGGCAGTCACCGGTACAGATTGTTGAATGCAGATGATCAATAATCAATTAAAGGCACTGATTCTCCTACAAGCAAAAGTAGGCTGTTTCGCGTGTAGCGTAGAGTGCTTAAAACGCAGTAAAGTTTAGTAATAGTGTTACATTAAGTCGTTCCTCTTTTTCTAGATCTAGACGTAAGTTTGGTATGGTAGAAAGGAAAATACCAGACGGAAAGGGGAATCCGAAATGGGAAGGTGAAAATTTTTGTTAAGTAAAATGGGAGGAAAAGGATATATTAGGGTGAATTCCTCCAAGAGTCCCTAACTTTTTATAAGTATGATATTCGTGTCCTCAATTTTTCTATTTGTAGCTCCGATATTCCCAAGTCGTTAACATTGTGCAATTTTAGGGATTAGTGAAGTTCTCCATACCTAAACCCGTCCCGTCTTGAATTACTCGAATATTAGACATCAAATATTCACATGATACATACACGATGTATGATTAAAAGGGTAAATTTATTCAAAAATAGCAACATTTAGCCCATGTTTCATATGGATTAAAATCAGATTTTTAGTAGATTTTAATAAAAGTCGAGAAAATGTGTAGTTGAAAAGTTATGGAACCCATTATATGTGTAGTTAAAATTGATTGTTGACTTTGACTTTGACTTTGATTAAAATTGAATTTTAATCAATTCCAAACAGGGCCTAATTTGATTAGTGGTTGTTGGATTTTTAAAGGGAAAAATCTGAACAATTTTATTCTTTCAATTAAACATCACGTGCACCTAAAAATTTAACATCTAAAAGGACGCTTTCCGAAAAAGGTCCAGTTGGATGGATCCAGCCTATTCTTGAAATAAACAACTCACACGCACTCCCTTTCCAAAAAAAGATCAATACATCAATCACAACACTTAGATTTATTGGATTTGTTGCTAAAATATCGACATTAAATCCGAAACTCTCGGCAGATAGCCAGTGGCCCAAAGAAACAAAAGAATCGACTACATTTTTCATAGGATCTCCTTTTATAGATAGACTAAAAATCGATCAGAGTTCTTTTTGTACCATCATGATACCATGTGTACAATTTCAAAAGGTTGGGGATATGGTGTTACAAAAGAAAGTCTGTAGATAAAATTTCCACAATCGTAGAAGATTAGGGATCCAAAGGTAATTTACCCTTTAAGTTAAATACATTACGCCCCCGTTTGACCTTCATTCTTTCCAAATTTTAATAGTTGGAATAATGTTTTTTTTTTTAAATGTGTTATTCAAAAAGAATGAAATTTTTTTTATTTACAAATAATATTATTTTATGGAAGATTGTGTGATTAAAAATAAGAGAGAGAAAAAAAATGAGAATGGGACCAAACGAGGGCGTAGTTTTGCAAATTAGACCGGGTAAGGCTAAGGATTGGAAAATTGTAGCATTTGTGCCCGTTCTTTACTATAGTCGATATTTTGTAGTGCGTAGATCTTCAATTTCAAATTTTCGTAATAAGTAAACAGTAAACATCCAAAATTACATATTTAAAAGAATTAAGAAATCTTAATTAAAATATTATATCAAGTCTACGAGCAGCAACGATTTCGTTTCCTCTTATTGTCCTTGTCTCCACCTTTTAGTTGTGCAAATACAAATTTAGAAATTAAAACCAAACTAGGAATTGTTTAAAATGATTTCGATCACAATCTTAAGGTCTCGAAATGTTTCTTTGAATTTAAAAAATCGAATGTTATTTCTAAAAGTAAGAAGATATTTTTTGACAAGTTTGGATAATTTTTTAAAGAGCTTCATCGGATTAAAAAGAGTTTAGAGAAATATGATCTAAATATGACTTTCTCGAAAAGATCTGTTAATAAAATCAAAAGTTAAAGCTATCTAAAACAAGCTTCCTCGTACTAAAAATAAATCAACTAGCTGGCGTAGTTTGCAGGTTATTGCATCAGTCCGATAGTTTACGCGGTGCGCACCCAAATAGTAGCGACTACGGATTCAAGTCACCATCACACAATCCAAAATAATAGACAAATTTGCATCTACAATGTTTCTACAAAATATTAGCCAACGCAAAGTCTAATGACAAACTCATAATCAGAAGGCTTGATAAGCTTAAAAGACAATTTTGTGTATAATAGATAGTATCTTTAAATTTAGATATTAAACTTTTTAACGCACTACAAGAAACTCTCGATTTTTAACTCTTTAGTCAATTATTTTTTTCAAAAAATATTTACTTCTTTTCCTTTTCTAATATATATTTTAAATGAAAGTGACCAATAAATCAAATATAATTCGAAGGTTTTTTTAAATTTGAAAAATTAAATCAAGTGACCAATAAATCAAATATAATTCGGAGGTTTTTTAAATTTGAAAAATTAAATCAACCATCTATTTGAAAAAAAAAATTTAAAATATAGGGTTTATTGAATTGATTTTAAAAAATAAAGAGTATGAATTTAGAGATTGATGTTATACTACCAGTTTAAGGCTTTAAGCGCCTGTTTGGAGGCGATTCTCACAAGATTTTAACGAAAATTTGACCCGTTGGGAAATGTGGGTATCATCTTTTAGCTGCAAATTTTTGCTCAATATTTGCTAAATTACCACAAATGCCCTTCATTCAAATAGAATGGATTAAATGTCAAAAGGGTACATGGATAATTTTATAATATTCGGTCAACAATTGCAGCTCAAAATTACCATGTAATGCTACAAATTTTGCGGAGTATTCCTCCAATGGTCAAAATTTTTCATTCAAATCCCACAGAGAATCCTCTCCAAACAAGCAATAAGTGACATTATGTAATAAGTTTAATTAAATGTAAAATTGTGCGATTCTTTTAGTCAAATCTGTAATTTAATGTCATTAATGCTGCAACTTAGATTAGTGCTAAGCACCTAAATAGCATTACTCTAGTTTAGAAAGTTCTTTTGAATGAAAAGTAATGTTATTCACAAGGAAAACTATTGATAATCGTCCTACATAGCATATATGTGTTGTTTTGTTATTTGATACATAAAACAATAAAAAACTATCACATAAATGTATCAAATGATAAAGTGGCACATGTATGTCACATAGAACGAATATTCAATAGTGTTCACTGTAAATAACATTATTCCATATATGAATGTTTAGACAAAATTATTTTATAAATAATTTATTAGTGAACATCTCCACAATTGATTTTGACCATTCAGCTATCGCACTCTCTTCTTATCTCTTTCTCAAGCGTGTGTTTAGAAGTGAATAGCACTTGAGAGTTTTTAAAATTGTGTAGCATGCTTGGCGCTGCCTAGTCGTTATGCTCAGTCAAAAAGTCAAGTCAAATGGCTTGACGCCTTATTTTGTGGTCAACGATTTCCGTTGACCGCTAAGGTGCAATTATGCACACATTGGCGTGCATTATCATCCTTTATTAATTTTATTTATTTTTTAAAAATTTTGTGGTGTTAAAAAAATTATCAATGGCTAATTTCTTCATTTTGCCCTAATTACGACCACTTGTATTGGAAGACATGGAGGAAGAATTAGAAGAAGAAGAGAATATTGACTTGGTGTCCGATAAAGAGTTAGATAAGATTAAAGTTCCTATACTATTTATTTACTATTTTGCATTTAAATTTGAAACTTATCTTTTTATTGAAAACTTTGAAAAAATGTATAACGTTCTTATAATCCTGTTTTAAATATTTAATAAGTATTATTTTTAATTATTAAATAATTTTTTAATTTATTAAAAATCAAAATAATATTGAAATAAGAAAACACATTTTTACGCTTTTTTACACCTAAGCCTCGCCTAAACTCGCGTTGTTTATAACCTTAATGCATCGCCACGGATTATGCCTTTTAGAACCAAGCCTTGATGTAAAATGTTTGGATTAATCTACTTTGGTCGAAGGAAAACAACATAAAAGGAAGGAAAACAACATAAAAGTTGACAGATATATATGTGAAATTAGATTATTGAATGGAAAAACTTATTGTGTTTTAAACTATTCAATAAAATGTCATATGACATTATATCAAAGCATTTGGCAATGTACCAATATTGAAATTTTTTATAATAAAATTTGTAAATTGTATCTAAGAACGCAATTAAAGCAAAAAAAAAAAACTTATTAATACACCTTCAAAATTATTTTATCGTGTGAATGTAAGATAGAAAATGAATTTTATAAAATTTATACCAAACATGAACTAAATTATAAATATATATATCAAATCACTTTTTATTAATACATCTCTTAAGACTCACAAATACTATCCACACTTTCGTACCACTTTTCATTTGTTTATAAAACTACTACTTGTAATCATTTAGGCCCTCTTTTGTTTAGTTAAAAATTAAATTTTTAAGTAAATTTTGATAAAGTCGTAAATCTCATTAAATGTTTGATTAAAAACAAATTTGAGTAAAAACAAATTTCCAAAAATAGGATTGACTTAATGTCAACTTCCCTCATTTACTCGTTCACTGTCATTACAACAATATGTCAAAGCAAAAAAATCTCTCTTCTATTAGTTTCATGTGGAAAATATGAAAAGAAAAAAGTCAACAGGTATTATGCACTCCTCCTGTAAGAGATTTGTTAATCGAGCACTTAATGAATTCCAACTTCATTTATATACTCTTCCCGGTTCATATTAAGTTCAATCATCAACAAGTTTACATCTTGTTTGGGAGCGATTTTTTTTCCCAAAAAATTGATTTTTTGACTATTATTTTACTATTCCAACCGTCATATTTGAATTCTTCTCTCACAAGTGAACCCCACTTTTCTCCTAACGATCAAAAAATCAATTCTCAAAATCACTCCCAAACAGGCTCTTAAAGAACTTGAATTAATCAATTTCCATTCCTCTCTTTCTCAGAAAATATGTTCGCCCAAAATCAATCGCTTCCATTTCCACTTCCAATGAGCGAGCCGGAGCCTTTTTCTAGCCGGTCAATGGCCACCCAGTTCTAAATATTTCTTAGACCCCCGACTTCGGAGTATCCTACTTTTATGTAATTCACAAGGTCGACAAGAAACCAATATTTCACGGACAAGGACATAGACAAGCTCCCTTTTTGTACATTTATCCATTGCCCCGCTGCAACTGCCTGTCCTTTTCAATGGTACCAT